GAGCAGGGACTCGCCGGGGCTGGGCGACTGCTCGCTGTATGTGGCCACTCACCCGAGCCAGCTGGAGCAGGTGTCACCGCAGTGCAGGGGGGACAGGCAGGAGCTGCCACTGCGCCAGACCCACCACCTGGAGGTGCCGCGGCCCCTCGGGAAGCGGGGAGCGCTCGGTGCCTTGGACCTGGAGGCTCAGCCTGCTCCGCCCGCCGACCCGCAGCCTGCCAGGATGTAGCGACTGCTGTGGCCGGCCCCGGCACCCCGCTGCCCTCGGCTCAGCTCCCTCCTGCCCAGCCCTGCTCAGAGGGTGCTCCCGGAGGACTTTCCCTCCAGCACAGCTCCCCAGGCTGCTGCGCTGCTTCCCTTTGCTCTCACTATCCAGAATAAAGCGTCAGGGACTGGGTGCGTGTTTGCACACCTGCTTCTGAAAAAGGGCAAAGAGAAAAAGTGGGGAAAACACCAAGGCTTTGCCCCCCAGCTCTCCCCATCCCATGGGAACCCTGCGCACCCCTCGAGGCTGCCCTTGCCCATCGCAAAGCTGGCGGGTGTCACAGCCCTTGACCCCCCCCCCCTCTGCTCTGGGGCACCCCCAAAAAACTCATGGACACGCCGATCCAGTCGTGTCCTGGCTGTGCGACACGCGAGGTGGCCCCGGTTTGGGGAACTCGATGCCCGGGCTGGCCTCAAGGTGGCAGTGGCCACCTTGTCCTCAGGATCGCCCCGCAGGGCTGGGGACCAGCGGGACAGCGCCGCGGGACCCCGGGGGACAGCGGGACAGGAGGGCTGTCCTGGGGCGGACGGGGGGCCACGGGCCCCAGGGATGGGGGCTGTGACCCTCGTGGCTGAGGGACTGTGGTGTCTATGAGAGAGGGGCCGTGGTCGCCATGGGCAGAGGGACACAGCCCATGGGTGAGGGACTATGGACCTTGTGGTCGAGTGACCAGGGTCCCCATGGGTGGAGGGATGTGGTCGCCATGGGCGGGGGAACACGGTGCCCATGGATGAGGGGATATGCCCTCGTGGTTGAGGAGCCTTTCCTTTTCCTGAGGAAAGGGCTGTGACCGCATGGGAGAGGCCACCATGCCCCACGTCCGGGGGCTGCAGGTGTCCCAAAGCCTGCGAGGGCAACAGAGGGATGGGAGCGCAGTGGGGCTGAGCCCTGCGGCAGCTCCTGCCTCCGCCTCTGCCCGCCTCCAGCCCTGCCTTCCCTGGGCACTTTGCTCCCGGCCGCGGGAAGCAGGAGCGGGCACGCTCGGCACGGCAGGGCACGGCCAGGGCAGCCCACAGCCCCACGGCATGGCCCCGTCCCGCGTGGGGAACAGGCTCTCCCCGTGGGGGCCCCACTCCTGAGAGCCGCCCAGGTCTGCAGGTGAGCCGGGACAGCCCTGTTTGGTGACAGCCGGGAGGGACAGCCCTGCCATGGTCACGCGGTCCCAGCTGGGCTCCGGGGACAGAGGTGGCACCTGCAGGGTGCCTGGGTGCAGGGTGGGGGTCAGCCAGTTCTCACCAGCCCTCCACCACCCCCAAATCCCTCTGTACCTCCTCCTCTCTAACATGCCACCTCCTTCCTCTGTCACTGAGGGCCTTCATCCTTCCCAGTGTGTCCCCCTCCTCTCCTGCATCCTCCTCTCCATCCCCCAAATCTCATCATGGGTTGAATCTGCCCTGGTGCTGCCGTGGCTCAGCCCGACACCAGGGGCCCCTGCTCACTCCCAGGGAGGTGGGGACAGGGCCAGCCCAGCAAGGGTGGAAGGGAACCCTCACCCCCACCCTGCCCAGGGTCACCTCGGGGCAGGGGATGGGGTGGACAGCGAGGGAAACGCCCGACCCTGCTGGTGTCCCCGGGGAGGTGTCCCGGCAGAGCGTGCCTTGGCTGCTCTTCCAGGCCAAGGGAAGGATTGGAATTGGGCCACATCCCCTTGTGCCGGGGCTTTGGCTGCACCAGCCACGTGGCGATTAGGGACAAGGGTCCTTCTGCAGGATGTTTTGCATAATTTCTCCTTGTTTTGCAATTTCCAAGGGCTTAGGCGAGGAGAAAAGCCCTGCTTTTCCCATGCTCCAGCAGCAGCCGGTCCCAGGCTCACCCATCCCTTGGCAGCTGCTCCAAAATCCGCTCTCATCTCCCCTCTCTGAGCTCCTGCCTGCTGCTCCATGGTCCCCAGCACCACGATGTCCATCCTGTCCCACCAGCAGGACTTTGGCTCCAGGGCAGACTCTGCTATGGTGTTGTCCAACTCCTCCATTTCACTGGAGCCTTTCCAACACCTCCCTGAATCCCCGGGGCTGGGGGAAACCTTGGATCCCACCAGGACTGGTGCTGCCAGCGGGGCCAAAGGACAGTTCTGGCTGGGAAGCTCTGCAGGACCAGGAGCCAGGGAAAAGCTGCCAGTCCTGTGGCCAAGGGCATCATGTGCCCTCAACATGTGCCACATGGCTGGCCCCTGCCCCTGCCCCTTCCCACTGGCCCATGGCTACTGCTGCCTTCTCCAGGACCCCCCTTGCTGCTTCCTGGGGAAAACCAGGGGCCACTCCAAAGACATCATCCCTGGGGGATGTCCCTGCCATGGACAAGGTGTTCTGCAGCGTTCCTTGTACATCCACAAAATGGGCAGAGCAAGAGCATCACCTCTTCCTGCAACACCTTCCATCTCCCTGCTCCACATCCTTCCCCTGCAGTGCCTTCCATCTCCTGCTCCAATAATCAATCCCAACTCTTGGCTCACACCTCAATCTCTCCTCAAAAGCCCACAGCCAAGGATAGTTTTGCTAGGAATGTCAGCAAGAAATAGGAATGGAGCTGGTGGTGATGTGTCCTCAGGCTAGACTGATGTGATGCAGTAATTTCAATCACTGATTTTGGTCGTGACTAAGATGAGGAAGCAAGAAACCTGTTAAAATATAACTTCCCAAATGTCATCTTCTTCTGCATGTCTATAGTTTGGTGGTTACCCTCAAAGGAATGTGCTGGGAATGGTTAAATCCCACTCCTGACTGTGCTCAGGCTGCATCAGCTGCTAGAGACGGGTGCCTGTGCTCTCCTCTGTGCAGTCCACAGCTGCTCAGGATTTTTCCTCATGCATTTTTTATACTTGATCATTAACTTTTATGTACTGTCTTGTTCATATCTTAATTGGTTGGTGACCTGTGTCATGGACACTGATCCTGCAGCGGCTCTGCTCTGGTCAGGCTCAAGGCTTTGAGTTCCCTTGCACTCAGAGGTTGAAGAGGACACAAAATCTCCTGGTCCCTCATGTCCCCAGCAGCTTGGGGACAAGTAGCTGCCAGGCCAGGACCACCACTGACACCTCGTTTGCAAGCTCAGGTTTTCCTACCACCTGTTTTCCCTCCTGGTTCTGAGAAAACAAACCAAGTTCTCCCCACTGTTAATGTTTGATCAGGACCTGCCTGTTGCTCTCTGAACTCATCCCTGCAATAAAGGCGGGAGCTGTGGCGGGCCAGGAGCCACAGGGTGTTGGATGTGGGCCCGGAGCTCAGCCCGCAACTCAAACAGAGCCCCGGGAGCAGGGCTGGAGGGGCCCCCGCTGTCCCATCTGCCTGCTGAGTCATTTATGAGCATCTCTGTCAACCCCAGGTATCTCTCCAGGCAGGGCGTGGCAGGGATGATCCCACAGAGACACCTCAAAGGTATTCCTGCTGGGAGAAGCCTGCACATCCTCAGGGCAAAGGGAAACAGGAGGGGGATGATGAGGGAGCCAAGGGATGAAGGAATCTGAGAAGTTGTGTCCTTCCACCTTGCAGCACCAGCTCCAGCTAAAGTGCATCCCTGAGCTCTGAGTCCTCCCCTGTCCTGGTGCCCCTCATCCCCTGGATGAGCTCTAGACAAAAGGAATTGGAGATGCTCCTGCATTCCCTCAATCAAACATGGTTTTGGCTACACCCTGATCTCTGCCAGCAGCACAGCAGCTCCTGCTCCCAGGTTAATCATCCAAGAACCCATCCTGCGTTGGAGGAATCATTTCACCAGGAATGGTGGAGGGTGTGGAGGGGTCAAGGCCCAGGCAGCCCTCATTGATCCTTTGCTGGACACCACGGTGGTGTCCTTCCTTTTCCCTCGAGAAGAGAGTTCTGAACCTTGACAGCTTATTCTCCTCCCGACTTCCCAGGAGCTCACAGATCCCAGCCTTTGACCCCAGCAGAGCCAGGAGGGGCTGGGACTCAGCTCCAGCAGCTCCTCTCCACAGGGCTCAGCTCATCCTTCCCTACGGACAACACCCGGCAGCCAGCAGCTCCTCGCTGTCCAGGGACACTCTCTCCCAAAGGCTCCTTTAACAGCCCCCCCAGGATTTCTCTGGGCCACAGCATTCCCCCAGACAAGCCTTTCTTCTCCTCCCGCCTTTCTTCTCCCAAGGAGCCCTCCGGGAGCAGCGGCATTGTCAGGATGGTGCCAATTAGGCTGAGGCAGCTTCCAAGAGGCTGCGCCGGCCCCGGCCGGGGGCTGCTGGTGCTCATCAGGGTCTCATTGTTCGGCGGCCGTGGGGCTGTGCCCGGCGGGGCCGGCGCGGGGCTCTGTCCCCTGCGAGGGCTCTGTCCCCGGCCAGGGCTCTGTCCCCTGCGAGGGCTCTGTCCCCTGCGAGGGCTCTGTCCCCTGCGAGGGCTCTGTCCCCGACGCGGGGCTCTGTCCCCTGCGAGGGCTCTGTCCCCGGCCAGGGCTCTGTCCCCGGCCAGGGCTCTGTCCCCGGCGCGGGGCTCTGTCCCCGACCCGCTCCCGGCTCCGCACAGCGCGGCCGTCCCTGCGCCGGCTCAAAGGGTGATTAAAGGGTGATTCATGGGTGTCAGTGCAGGGGCTGCGGAGGGGAGGATTTGCCGAGCCCGCTCTCCATGCGCGAGTTGAGAAAAACCAGAGAGCCATCAAAGTGGCCGGAGCTCCTGGAGGGGGAGAAAAATCTGGCAGCTTTGGCTCCTTTCCACGCTTTGTGCCTGACAATGGTCGGGATCAGTGACTAGTGTGCTTTTATGAACTGCTCCCTAGGTCTGGCTGGCACACCATGGCCACTCCGGTGAGGATGTTCCCAGTTTCCCTGTGGACACCGACGCCGGCTCCCTGGCCAGGAGGGAACACCACAGCAGCACCCGAGGCTAAGTGTGTCTTCAACGAAGAGTTCAAGTTCATCCTGCTGCCCATCTCCTACAGCATCGTCTTCGTGGTGGGGCTGCCCCTCAACTGCTGGGCCCTGTGGATGTTCATCTCCAGGATGAGGCCCTGGAATGCCACCACCACCTACATGGTGAACCTGGCCCTCTCGGACACGCTCTACGTCCTGTCCCTGCCCACCCTGGTCTATTATTACGCCGACCGCAACAATTGGCCCTTTGGCACGGGGCTGTGCAAGATCGTGCGGTTCCTCTTCTACGCCAACCTCTACAGCAGCATCCTCTTCCTCACCTGCATCAGCGTGCACCGCTACATGGGCATCTGCCACCCCATCCGCTCCCTCAAGTGGGTGAAGACCAAGCACGCCCGCATCATCTGCGTGGCCGCCTGGCTCGTGGTCATCATCTGCCTCATCCCCAACCTCATCTTCGTCACCACCAGCTCCAAGGGCAACACCACCCTGTGCCACGACACCACCAAGCCCGAAGAGTTCGACCACTACGTGCACTACAGCTCCTCCATCATGGCCCTGCTCTTCGGGGTGCCCTTCCTGGTCATCGTCCTGTGCTACTGCCTGATGGCCAAGCGGCTCTGCAAGCCCAGCTTCTCCAGCCCCGGCCTCCGCATGCCCTCCTACAAGAGGCGCTCCATCAGGACGATCATCGTGGTGCTCGCCGTCTTCGCCATCTGCTTCGTGCCCTTCCACATCACCCGCACCCTCTACTACACCTCCCGCTATTTCCAGGCCGACTGCCGGACCCTCAACATCATCAACTTCAGCTACAAGATCACGCGGCCGCTGGCCAGCATCAACAGCTGCCTCGACCCCATCCTGTACTTCATGGCTGGGGACAAGTACCGGGGCCGGCTGCGCCGCGGGGCCGCCCAGCGCCTCCGGCCCGTGCCCACGCTGGACCTGGCCCTGGTGTCACCCTTCGCAGACAGCATCACGGGTGACAGCCACATCGCCAGTGTCACCCGCGGGGCCGCGGCCGCACGCAGCGGAGGCGGGTGCTGAGGGGGTTCCACAGCCTCAGCCTGCTCCAAGTGGGCATTCCCAAATCCCCAAACCTGAGCTGTCCCTGCCCAGCCCTGCAGGGCTGAGGGCTGGAGGCCCCAGTTTGGTCCCAGCCCTGCCCTCTGAGACCATGGGAAGAGGCTGCTGGTGCTGGTCAGGGCAGGAGAGCCGCCGGGCACTCATGGGAATGGGAAGGACACTGAGGAGGCTGTTTTGGGGCAGCAGGCTGGTGTTCCATCCCTGGTACTCCTGGGGACAAGTGGGGCTGACAAGTCACTAAAGAGAAAGGACACTGGTGCCTCCCTGGGCAGGCACAGCTCTTCCAGGTGACTCAGTGGTGACATGCAGGGACCAGACTGAACCTGGGGACAGAGCCCACACTGGGCGGGTTCTCAGAGATGTCCCTGTCACACTGCTGGCCTTGGCAGAGGGGGAGGGACATGGCCTGGGCCACTTGCTGCCCATATATTGCCCCCCAATAAAGCCCCTTCCCCTCTCTACGCTCAGGCCTGTTTCTCCCTGCAGCATAAGGAAGAGGGACAAGACAATCATCCTCACCCCAGAGAAAATCCACTGGGGCAGGTCTGGAGGGATGAGCCAGAGCTCCCGTGGTGACAGGAAGGTTCTTGGGAATTTCCCTTTATGGGTGTTTGCTCCTCAAATGTTTACCCAGCCCTTTTGTTTGACCAAGTGCCTGCGCAGAGCAGCGTGCTGAGATTGGTATCAGTGCTGTTGACTCTCCCACGCCAGCCTGGCAGGAATGGGACAGGGACAGGGCTGTCCCCATTCCAAGAATCCCAGGAGTCCCTGCAAGTCCCTGTCCCCATCAGTCCCTGCAAGTCCTTCCAGCACATGCCTAAGAAAGGGGTGCCCAGGGTGTCACTGGGGTGTCACACCCAGCCACCACACCAGTCACACACAGAGCCACGTCCCACAAGAGCTGCCCAGGGGAAGGAGATGGCTCCAGGGATGGTCCATCCCAGCCCCACATCCCTGTCCCACCCAGAGAGACCCTCACTCACCACTGAGCCAAGAGCAGAGAGCAGGAGACATCCCTCCCGAGCCCAGTTAAACCAGTAAGAGCTGCCCCTCACCTCCCATTATATCCATCGTGGCTCAGGTGCACCTGGGAGCTGCTTGGCTGCACCTGAGTGGTGCAAGGGCTCTGCCAAACACTGCTCCAGCTGGAGGTGGGACTGCTAGGGAGGGGACACGCTGCGTGGCAAGGGCATCCAGAAGGGCAGTGCAGGGGTACTGCGACCATGCTGCCAATCCCAACCTCTGGAACACACACAGACAGGCACTGGGAGGTTCAAAATCTGTATTGGGTATGGAGATGGCAGGAAAGGCTCATCTGGGGCCACATGGTCCTGGTTCAGGCCACATCCACAGGTTCCCCAAGTCCAGGAGAGTCACCCTCCCACCCCAGCGTGGGCTGTGCCCCAGTCTGGTCCCTCTGGTCATCAGGATGCCACCCCACAAACCCCATGTCAATCTGTCCTGCCATGATACCCCTCCCTCAGCTTGTGGTGACCTGGTTATCCCAGGGGGACCGTGCCCATGGCTGGCCCCAGCCCCACACCAGCCCCTTGCAGGGAACAGCTGTGTCACCCACAGCCCCCCAAACCCCTTGCAAGGGGGAGCCTTTCCCAATCCTCCCCTCGCTTCCCCCTCTCCTCCCACCTCCCCCTCAGTTTGGAGGAACAGAAGGCCAGAGTAGGGACTGTCCCCTGCATGTCCCCCATGCCAGGCTGGCTGAAACTCCCCCTGCAAGAGCCCTCCTGAGCCAGGAGGGGGCCGGTGCTGGTGGCACTCAGAGGATGTGCAGCTCGTCTGACTCGGACAGCCCGTACTTGGTCTTGTTCTCGTTGAAGAGCTTGAGCAGGGCACGGATGTAGAGCTCGTGGTACCGATCCACCAGCTCCCGGCTCGGGTTCTCCACCTTGGGCACCGCCAGCGGCTCCCCCACTGCCGGCAGGGGACAGGGTCAGCCTGGTGGCAGTGGCTCGGCTCGGTGGGGACACAACCCAGGAGGTGCCTTCCAGCACCACCCGCTGCGGAGTGTCCCCTCACCCCCAGCCCCAGCGCTCACCCACGGTGGTGATGGGTCTGGCGTAGGGCAGGAAGCCGCGGGACCGGCTGGAGGTGAGGCCGCGGCCGTAGAAGAGGCAGGGAGCGAAGCCAATCATCTTCTGGAAGCGCCGCTGGATGCTCCTCATCCAGGAGCCCTCCTCAAAGACCACCTGGCGGAAGAGGTCGTTCTCCCCAAAGGAGAAGGAGGGGACGAGGAAGGCCCTGAGGAGGGGACACGGTGGGTGGTGACGGGGCGCTGGGCACCGCCGGGACCCGCGGGGGTGGCAGCGCTGGTGGCCCAGCCGTGACCCACCCGTGGCGCAGGGCCATGCGGACGAAGCCCTTGCGGTTCTTGAGGATGAGCGTGGTGACGCCGGGCCGGCAGGACAGCGACTCGGCCGCGCCGCCGATGACGATGGCCACCGCGTTGCCGGTGCCTTTCTGCGACAGCAGGTACCCGATGGCGCGGCGGGTCACCGGGAACAGCCCTGCGGCGGGACGGAGCACCGGGGCTGTGGCACTGCAGTGCCCGGCCACCCGACAGGGACCGCCGAGGGTCCCCCCGAGCGACGGCACCTGGTGGGACCAGGGCAAGGACAGGGCGAGGGCTCCCTCTGCTGCGGGCAGGGAGCGGTGAGGGCAGCGTGGGGACAGCGAGGGCGGAGGGTACACGCCGGGGGTAGACAAGGAGCGGGCAAGGCGGAGGAGCGGCCCCGACTGGGTGTAGGCAAGGTGCGGGCAGGGTGCGAGCAAGGTGAAGGTGCAGCTCAGGCAGGGTGTGGGCGAGGTGTGGGCAAGCCGCGAGGTGAAGCTGTCGCTCAGGCACAACGCGAGCAGAGCAGCGTCCCTGCCCTGCCTCCTCCCGGGAGCACCATCCCACCCGTGCTCCAGGAGGGATCAGGAGCTGAGCCGGGCAGGCACCGCTCACCCCCACTCATCAGGTACTCCCGAAACACGGGCAGGCGGAAATTTCCGGCCAGCGTGGTGAGGAAGGAGCGGATGCCCGGGAAGAGCTCCTCGAAGCCCGTGGAGCCAGTGATGAAGTTGCAGAAGGCACCGACGCAGAGGATGCCGTGGGGGTGCGAGCCGATGATGTAGTTGTGGCTGGGGGACAAGTCGTGGGTCTTCACCAGCTGCGGGGACAAAAGGAGTCACGGGGACGGTGGCACCTCCTTTTGGGTGGTACCAGCCCGTCCCGGCGCCGTACCTTCACCGGGAAATAATCCCGAAAATGCTTCCACACGGTCCATCGCCGCAGGCACGACAGCCTCCTGCCACCTGCAAAGCCGGGAGGGGCCCCAGGAGATGATGCCCAGCTCAGTCCAGCCCAACCCAGCCCAGCGGGCAGCAGGATCCAAGGGAAACGCTCCCCGTGGACCCGCTGCATCCCTCTTCCCACCGTGGTGCTGATGATGGGGGACTGGAGGGAAGGAGCAGGGGGGATGTGGTGCTCCCCAAATTCTGGGAGGACCCTGGAGAAAGGGGGACCCCACCCCCATCCTGCTGCAAAGCTGGAGGAGCAGGGACACGGCCACCACACCTTTCTCCGGCGTGTCCCAGTCGAAGATGATCCAGGCCAGGTAGAGCACGGGGATGAGCCAGAGGCTGGTGAAGAGCAGGTAGATGAGGAGCAGGAGGCTGACGATTCCTGCGGGAGCCGGGCAGGGGGTGAGCGGCTGTGTGGCCCCCCGGGACCCCCCGCAGCCCCCTACTCACTCACCCAGCAGCAGGAAGCTGAGCACCCACTGCAGCACGGCCAGCAGCTGGAGCGCGGAGCCGATGTCGCGTTTCGAGGGCCAGGGCACGGCCAGCAGCGTCCTCAGGGCAGTCTGGATGCTGGCCCGGCTGCCTGTGGAGAGGGGGGCACGACCCCCGCCCAAAACAGCACGGCTCGTAGGCAGGCGGGGTCACCGGGCTGCCGGGGGGCACCCAGGGGCACCGGCGGGAGGTGGGATGGGAAGGGGGAGCAGCCGGGGGAGGAGGGATGGGATGTGGCGGGATGGAATGGAGGAGGCTCATCCCCAGGAAGCTCTGGACCATGCCAGGAGGTAGCCCTGGGCAATCAGGGCTGTCCCCAGAGCAGGGAGCACCGGGCACCCCAAGCCCAAAAGCTCCGTGCACCAGCGGGGCCGAGAGCAGTGACACATCCTGCTCCATGCCCAGTTCCCAAGGGCCAGGACCATTCTGTGCCCTCCTTGGTGTGCTCAGGCTCACGGGGGATTTGGGGATTTCTCAGCTGGCACAGCAGGGAGGCACCACCCCCAGCAAGTGCCAAGGCCAGCAGCAAGGCCAAGCCAGGGTGGCTGGAGGTGGCCGTCCCAGTCTGTCCCCACAGGGACACGCCGCTGGCAGCACAGCCACTCCACTCCCCCTGCCACCCCTTCCCTCCAGCCGATCTTGGTGAACCATTAACCTCCCCGGGCTGGGAGCCAGGATCCAAACTCCAAGCCTGGCCACATCCTTGCCTCATCCCTGCTCCCTAAAACGGGCTGGAGGAGCCGGGCCTGCCAGCACAGTGCTCCTGGCCAAAGGTCCCCATGTTGAGACCACCCCAGAGAGCCACCCCAGCATCACAAAAGCCTCGTATTCTTGGGAAAACAACCCCAAATCTGCATGCTGGCCAGAGAGACAATCAGGGGGACACAGGAGCAGCCCTGTCCCTGTGGCTGCCCAAGCCAGGGACCCCTGGATCAGAGGAGAACCACCAACCCCTGGCTCAGGAAGCTGGCGGATGTTCAGCTCTTCCCAACTCAATCCAAACCAGGAATGGGACAAGTGAAATAAATTAAACACTGGAGCCATCTCTGGGACATAGGAGATTTTTCCAGTGGGAAATTTTTGTCTTTTTCTCGCATGCAGCATGCTGGGCTCTGGGTGATCCCTTCTACCCACCACACATCTCCAAAATCCCAGCCACCTGCAGAACC